CGGCAGCCTGTGCGCACCGAGGTGAGTCGCGGCCGGACTCCGCGGTCGGGTCGGGGCTCCGAGGGGCCCCTCCGTCCGGCTCACCCCTTTGGCGCCCTCCCTGCTGCCGCGCGGGCTCGCGTCTCACCTCCCACCAAGTCCTTCACCCCTTGCTCCGGGCTTCACGGTGCTGCCCGCCGCGCCTCGGTCCCTGCGGCCACGCCCGCGCCCCTCTGACCTGCGGGGCGCCTCGCACCCCGAACCCGAGCTCCCGGCCCCGCCCTCCACCCAGCGCCTGAACCCTTGCCCCACCCCGGGACCCGGGCGCCCCGGTCCCGCAGCGTTCCGGCATGCCGGGCTGGGGGCCGTATTTTTAGCCGATGGGGAGGCGTCCTCCTAGCTTTAGCCGCGGCCGCGCGTGTCCTGAAGCGGATCGGGCTGTGCTGGGCTGCGCTGCGCCCCGGCAAAGGGCGGGGTGGGGTCGGCGCGGGAACCCGAGCTGGGGCTGAGGAACCGGACCCGTGGGAGCCAGGGGCGGGGGCCCGCACGCCCGAGCTCTGGCGCCGCGCCGAGCGGACACTCGGACATCGCCCAGGCCGGAAAGCTCGGGAGGCTCCTCCCAGAGCTTGGAGACTGGGGTAGGGTCCCTGATCGCCCATTTCCCCCTGGTTGTCTGGTTGTAAGAGCAGAACCCAAGCCCTTCGAGAGAAGAAAATCCCACAAGCGGCCTCTGACGTGAGGTTCCTTGCCGGCGCCTGCCGCGAGCCTCAGCCGCGCTGGACACAGACCCCCGAGCGCCGGGATTCCAGCGGGACGCGGGCGATAGCGGGAGCGCGCGCGCCATCTAGCGGCCGCAGAGAGGGGCGCCGCTGCGCGCCCGCACCCCGGAGACCCCGAGACTGGGAGCGACCGGAGATTGCAGACGGGCAGTTTAGGGGGGAGGAGGCGGAGGCCCGGCGCCTTGGACTTTTTTTTTTTTTTAAATCTTGCTCGGAGCACCGTCCCAGAAGACCAGAGTGCCTAAAGGCGGCCTTGTAGCTGCTTGCTGCCAGCGCCCTAGTAACGCCGCTGTCCCACGTGGGGGCTCTCACTTGTAGTAGTACGTTGGGTCCCCAGCAGTTACGGTGATGACGTATTGCAGCCCATCTGTAGGTGGGGGCCTAGAGAGGAGACAGGTCTTGCCCCAGGTCACAGCGCGAGTCCCAGGTGGTGACAGATGGAAGCTGAGGCTCCTGATTTCAAGGTCGTAGGGGTGCTCTTTGAGCACCCCAGTGGGAGCTGCATGGTTTTCCGGGGGGGGGGCGTTGCCTCCTGAAGTCCTTTTCTCTGAGCCATGTCCAGGGCGTCCATCCCGGGCAAGCCCGCAGAGCTGGGATGGCTCCCATCTGTTCTGCTGCTGCTGCGGGAGCCACCCCTCCCGGCCACGCCTCCTGAAGGGGAGCGCCTGCTTCTCTCTCCTGACAGGAGCAAGATGTGGGAGTTGGAGATGTGGGGCCCGATGGCCGAAGCCCAGCTCCTGCTCCCCCAACAGGTCCTGGGCGCTGGACTGGCCCACTGTGTCAGTCTCATAGGGCCTGGTGGGCACCAGGGCCACTCTCCCTCTTGCAAGCTGAGTGACCAGAGTGGCTTCCCGTCTCTGAGGCTCGGCCTCTGCCTGTGTCAAGGCGGTAATGGGCGTGCTGTGGCTGGGAACATCGAAACACAAACTGCAGGGGCAGCTGGGCCTGGGGTCTCCGGCCAAATCTGAACATTTGGGGCTTGATGGTTGTGATTCCCAGCTCTCCCCTGGGTGGCTGACGCTGGCCCAACCTCCCTCCTTCCAGCCTCTGTTCTTCCCACATCTGGAATTGGGCGGGTAGATCTGGCTCAGAGGGAGACCGCGGTCAGGGACCCCAGATTTGTTGTGGAAACACCACCGGCTCGGGGCCTGTGACGGGGGCTGGGGGCGGGCTGGCAGATGCCACCTGTAGCCCCACGCTCCACGAGACAGAGAAGGAAGAGCTGTTTGGGACTTCTTGCCTGCCAAGGGTGGAGATAGGGTTGTGTCGGGCCAGGCCTGGCATGTGCCCCTTGAGGAGAAGGTCAGCGAGCGGCCGGGGCGGTGAGGCTCCAGGGCCTCGGTGCCTCCCCCTCCCCCGGCTCCCTCGCAGCTCCGCTGGACTTCCGCCACTGAAGTCACTTCTTTGTTTCCTGTCAGCCACAGGTGCTCTGGGCAGGCAAGATGTCCAATGTCCGGCCTGGGGGTTCAGCCTGAGTGACCCCGGGTGTCCGGCCTGGGGCGGGGTTTCCTGAGGGAGGACCTACACTGGGAGTAGGCCCCCGGATCCTCCTGCCCTCCCTCCTGCCAGTCCTCAGTGTCCCTTCACCTGCTCCCTGAAGCGGGGCCGAGGGGCTGGCTCTGGGGAGGCCTTGCGGCCCTGGCTGGGCCCTGGCAGCCCTGGAGAGGGTGGGCTCATCCCTGGGTGACCCAGGGCGAGCCTCTGCTTCCTTGCCCTGATTCTCCACCTGGGCTCACGCGTGGGGCTGGCCCTCTCCGCGGGGAGGAGAGGGAGTGTCTGCCCTGGTCTCTCCTCTGTCGGCCGGTGGGACGCACTCCGGTGAATTCATTTTTTCCACATTAAAAATAGCTTTCCCCCTGATTTTGTTAGTCACACATGCTTATTATGACAATTTTGAGCCTATCTAAAAAAAAAGATTTGGTGTTTATGAAAGTCTGAACAAGCAGGGACTCAGCTCTGAATCGTCTGTTTCCACGCGTCAGTTCTGGCCGCAGGACTGTTACAGAGCGCCTCACTGGGGACGCTGGAGCACCATCGCTGACCCCGCCGGGGGTGGCCCGTGGGATAGTCCATGGTCCACAGTCTCCTCTGCGCAGCTGCGTGGATGTGCACGTCCGGGGGGCGGGCGCGTCGATGCTTTTAATACCCCGGAGCGCCTATGCTGCGGGGCTGCATTCGGCTTCTCTCGCTGCAGGGTCTTCACCTGCCTTACCACGCTCATTTTAAAGATTTTATTTGTTTATTTTTGCATAGAACTGGGGTGTAGGCCAGAGGTGCAGGGGGCGAGAGTGGCGAGCAGAACAGGTGGATCTACTGAGATACACTGCTGAGGGGAGCAGCAGGGAGACAGGAGAGGGCTGCTGCGCCCTGGGGTCACTCCCTGCCTGGGGATTGAACTCCGGCCACTGTGTTGAGAGCACTGAAACTTAACCCCTAGGCCACCAGGGAGGGTGATAGGAGGGTGATTTGGTGCTTAAATATGTTGGCAAAGACCTTGGGCTCAGAGCGGAACCTCCCAGTTATATTTGCCCTAAGTGTTGGAGCAGGGAGGAGTGATGTCCACTTTAGATTCAGCCCTGCCCAGAAGGAAGTCCTGACCTGGAGGCAGGTGGAGAGACGGGAAACCGGAAGGGGAGCGCCTCCAGGTAGGGCTCCCTCCCGTTGGCAGCGGTCAGTCATGCAGGTCTGTTGGCTGCCCACAGCCTGGGCCAGGTCTGGGGGTCAGAGAGAGGACCCTGTCCTCGGTCAAGTGAGGATGTGGGATACCCACACGCGCCATTTGGCTCTTGCCACCCTGGGGCGCCTGGGGTGCCGTGGGGTGCGCACCTGGCAGTGGTAATATGCAGAGTCGGGCACCCAGCGCACGCGACCAGGACCAGGATGTTGTGACTTTGGGCCTGTCACTTGGGTTCCGGGCCTCAGTTTCCCTGCTTGTAAAGGCAGCAGCTTGGCGCTGGAGGTCCCGCCTCCAAAGGGCAGTGAGCTGGGGGACCCCCAGCGTGCCCAGTGGGGGTGCGGCCCCACCCGGCTCCCAGGACAGACTGGGGCCCAGAAACAAGACAAGGAGCCTGACTACTGACCTCTGTCCCGACCTGGGCCCTTTCATTTCAGCTCCTCAGCCCCGGCCCGGGAGACTCGCTCCAGACTCGCTCCCGCTGCGTCCTCTCCGTTGTCAGAAGAATTGTCACCCCGTCTCGGAGAAGGACGTTCCAGCTCTCACCCCGCCTTCGTCACGCGTCGGTTCTTTCTCCCTCTCCTGGGGCTCGCGGGGCCGCGCGCGCCAGGCCCATCTGCGTGGACAGTTTCTGTGTGGCCGTTGTGGCTGAGGGAGGTGAGAGGAGAGCGGCAGCCGACGCCCGTGGGCTGTCAGGCCTTGCAGCCAGGCCAGCAGCGAGGTCGCCATGTCCACCAAGGTGCCCATTTATCTCAAGCGGGGCAGCCGCAAGGGCAAGAAAGAGAAGCTGCGGGACCTGCTGTCGTCCGACATGATCAGCCCGCCCCTGGGGGACTTCCGCCACACCATCCACATCGGCAGCGGGGGCGGCAGTGACATGTTCGGGGACATCTCTTTCCTGCAGGGAAAGTTCCACCTCCTGCCCGGCACAGGCGCCCAGGGACCAGAGGAGGTGGCGGTGGAGGGCAGCTTTGACCTCCCCTTCCAGTTCACCCGAACTGCCACGCTGTGCGGGCGCGAGCTGCCCGAGGGGCCATCCCCTCTGCTCAAGAATGCCATCTCCCTGCCTGTCATCGGGGGACCCCAGGCCCTCACGCTGCCCGCGGCGCAGGCCCCGCCCAAGCCCCCACGCCTGCACCTGGAGATGCCGCAGCCATCCCCGCAGGAGGCGGGGAGCGTGGACGTCTGGAGAATTGCAGAGGCCGAGCGTGCTGGGCTGACCCCCGACGCGGGGGCCGAGGAGCCCCTCCTGTCCCACGCCAGCTCCCTGCTGTCTCTGCACGTGGACCTGGGGCCGTCTATCCTGGACGACGTCCTCCAGATCATGGACCAGGACCTGGGTCACCTGCAGATCCCCACGTAGGACAGAGGCAGGCCAGAGGGGTGCTCGCCTGTGGGGATGCCCGCAGGCGGGGTGCTCCCAACTCTGGCCTAGAAGTCTGGGTCCCCAGGTCAGCCGCGTGGTCTCACTTTGAGCCTTTGTCCCAGCCCCCAACCCTCCCCGTGGCCAGGGCCTGCCTCACGCCATCCCCCTGAAACCTGAGGACACTCGCAGAGGTTGGTGCCACGTGTCCTGAGCATCTCGGGCCACTCGTCCTCCCGCACCACCGCCCCCTCCGCCCCTAGAGCCTTGGATGAAGGCCCTGCTGAGACAGACTCCCCTGGGGCCCCCATCGGGTGTGTGGGAAGAGCCAGGGCCCAGCCAGGGTCGAGGCTACGCCCTGGGCTGGGAGCAGCCTCAGGGCCGGCTGCTCTGCCCTGTTCCCCCGCGTGTGGCCCGGACTCTGGTTGCAATAAAACTTGTTGCTGCTGGTGGTGGTGCGCCAGGCGCTCTTGCCCCAGCTGCCCCTAAGACAGGCCACTCCTGTGAGGTGCGCTGACTCCGGGGGGGTCCCGGCCCCAGAGAACTTGGGCAGGGCAGGAGGCTGAGAATGAGCAGGAGCCCAGCAAGCCCCACCTGCTGTGTCCCAGTGCGGACTTGAGTGTTTGGCCGAGCACTGAGGAAGCTGAGCTGTGCCGAGGCAGCTGGGGCCTGCCGGGGCCGGAGCACCCAAGGGTGACCCAAGCCTAGTGCAGGGACCCACCAGCCTCCTGCCTCAGGGCACCAGGAGCACCGCGGGAGGGGGACCCGCCCCGGGGCTGGCGGGGCCACCGTGGGGCTGTTGGCCGTGTGTGTCCCGGTCTGGGCTGCCAGGCAGATGCAGCCGCTCTCCTGGGGGAAGAGAGGGCCATTCAACTGATAGGTAAGACGAGTTCCAGCGGTGTGGAGCACGCGCCGACACCACACCGGGGTACTGGGGTTGGGGGTGGCGGTGTGAGGGCACATGAGGGTGATGGGTGACTGAGCCACGGGGGGCTGATAGATTTCTGCTGGCGCGGAAGCAAAGGCACGAGGCGCCAGCATAGAGGACAAAGAGGAGCCACCGGGTGGTGAAACAGACTCAGGCCTCTGAACCCCCTGAGCCTGTGACTCGGTTTCCCCACCTCCCAAACGGACGCCGTGGTGCCTACCTCATAGGGTTGAGAAGGTTAGGGGTTGTGTTGAGAGTTGCCACTTTGGAAGCGACTGTGAGGCTGACATATGATTCTGGGGGTGAGGAAGGTGCTGGGGCGGGGTGGAGTCAGCCGACATCACACCAGGGGTTCTGCTAGCTGGAACTTTAAGCATGAGAGACATCTATCAGGTCTAGGTTTCAGAGGTCGCCAGCCAGGTCACATGGAACAAGGGCCTAGGAAGTCGCTGCTGGGTGAGGGGACTGGGTCTGGGCAGGGACTGTGGGATGGAGAGGGGGACCCTCCAGGGGAGCTTGTGTCTGATTGCAGCCTCCTTGGTCCTCTTCTCCCCTTGATTCTTCTAAATCCTTGACACAATGAGCCCCAAACTCTCACCTCACCCCAGTCTTTCCTGCCTCCAGGGAGATTTAGTACTGGGAGAAGAATTTGATCAGGGAGTGTTTTTTCCAGACAGGACTCTTTAAAAAGAAAATATATTTTATTGCTATAAAATATACATAACATGAAATTTATCGTTTTACCATTTAAAGTACACAGTTCAGCAGCATTGAACACATACACATTATTCTGCAACCATCACCACTATCCATTTCTAGAATTCTCTCATCTTCCCACTGTGAAACTCCATACCCTTAAACACTAACCCCCATTCTGCCTTCTCTCCAGTCCTTGGCCATTCTACTTTCTGTATGAGTTTGACCCCTCTAGGGACCTGGTATAAATGAGAATCTTACAGGATGTGTGTTGTTGTTGTTGTTGTTGTTGTTTTTTGTGACTGGCTTCTTTCACTTAGAATAACATCTTTAATGTGTATCCATGCTGTTGTATTCAAATTTCCTTTTTCAAGGCTAAGTAATATTCTGTTTATGTATATAATCACTGTTTTGTTTATCCATTCACCCGCTGATGGATACCAGGGTGCTTCTACCTTTTGGAGATTGTGAGTCATATTGCTGTGAACACAAATGAAACAGAACAAATATCTGAGATCCTGCTTTCAGTTCTTTGGGGAAACACACAGAGAAGTGCCATGGCCGGGTCACGTGGGAATTCCATGCTTAATATTTTGAGCAATCACTATATTGCACCAAAGCTGCTACACCATTTTATATTCCTGGTTTTTTGTTTGTTTGTTTGTTTGTTTGCTTTAATATGAAATTTTCTCCTCATTTAGAGGTTTGACACAACTGTTGAGTGGGATTTGACCCAGGCCTGTGAGACCCCAAAGCCTGACTGTAACTCTCCCTGAAGGGATAGGGCTGTAGACCCTGGTACAGTATGAAAGCAAAGGGGGGAGCTGAAAGGCCAACACATTCTTGCCTGCAGGCTCCCCCCCAGGCTTGGGGCGCTTGTCCCACCTGACTTGGGAGAGGAAGATAAGAATAAAGGACACTTTCTTTAGCGCTTCACCAGAGGGAAGGGAACACCTCACCCCAGACCTGAGCTGAAGGCAGACTAGCCATGGAAGGGGGACTTGCCTGTCTTGGGTCCCCTGGACGTACTTCCTACTCAACCCCACCCACATCAGCCACTATCAAAGGCCCCCCGAAACCTTTTCTCCTTCAATGTCAGGGTGGAGAAAAGGAAACTTGGCAGGAGATCCCTAGTGGGGTAACTAAACTCAAGACACCTGCTTATACCCAGGAGGCCAGGGCTGGAGTGACCAGCTGTCCCTCTTCAGTTTCCAGAGTGGTGTCCAGTCACCGTGTCCCACAAACACCACCCAAAAAACTAAGTCCCCAAAGTAAAGGTCCCCAAAAATCTAAGTCCCCCAAAGTAAGGTAAAGTGACGAAATGACAAATGTTACTACAGTTTGCTGTTTTCCATACCCAGCATCCATGGATGCTTATAATAAATAAGTAAATAAATATATACATATAGTGTTATGTTGCTTCTTACATAATTCTATATTATGTTGATACATAATACACATATTGTTTCTTCTGCCAGGTAAAGAAGCATTATAAGGATGGATACATTTTAATCCAAGTTCAAGGCTGGAACTTCCTTAGACCACCCAAATATCAGATAAACTTCATTCTGGGCTACAAGTCCAGAGAGGTTGGGGTCCCATCTTAAAGTGCCTGTGTCCAAGGGGGTAGACTCTGGGATTTGAGTTTTCAGAAGTCATTTTGAGATGTCACTATTGCGCCCCCTGGCGGAAGCATTCATCTAGGGCCCAGAGCTACAGAACAAGAAAACATTTTGCAAAAGTCATTAGATACTGCAAAAGGCCTCTCCTGTGTGGAGACACTGTAGATTCTGGTCACTCATTCCGAGCAGGGAGAGTGACTACTGTTCCGTGATGTAGCCTTTCTTAAAAGAATCCAAAGGGGGCCTCCCTGGTGGCACAAGGGCTTAAGTCTCAGCACTATGAAGCTATCTGGAGGTGACCCACATGGCGCAGCAGACCTCTCCTGACTCCCCACTGCTCCCCTCAGCAGTATATCTCTTCAACCTGCCTGTTCTGCTCCCTACTCTGTCTCTGGTGAGTCCTCACACTGTCCCTGCACCTCTGGCCTATACCCCAGTTCTATGTGCATAAATAAATAAATCTTTAAAAAAAAAAAAAAAGCAGCCAATAAGGCTGGGAAGTCCAAGATCAAGTGTCAGAAGACCTCATCTGCCTCCTTGTTGTGCCCTCAAAGGGCTTTTCCTTCTGCAGAGAGATTTCTGTCTTACTCTCCTTATATGAGAATTAATCCCAAATAAGTGTCCCACCCTCACTGCCTCACCTAAACCGAATCCCCTCCAAAGGCTGCCCTTCACAGGGCTACAACAAGTGGGTTTTGGGAGATGCCCACCCCCAGGCCATCACACATACTTTCCACTCCTGCTTTGGAGTGACCTGTTGATGCCCTTTGCACAATTGTCATGTGCTCCCAGGGGGAAGAGTCCACCAGTATCATCTCGGCCTTCTTAAAGCAGTGGGTCCCGGCCCTCCCTGGTGGCGCAGCGGGTTAAAGCACAGCACTGAGAATCTAAAGCCGCTTCTGCATGAGTTCGATCCCCGCCTGCCCCGGAGGTGACCCCATGGCGCGGCAGACCTCTCCTGACCCGCCCGCTGCTCCCCTCAGCAGTGTACTTCGTCAATCTGCCTGTTCTGCTCCCCACTCTGTCTCTGGTGAAGCCTCTTGAGCCGCCCCTGAGCCTCTGGCCTGTACCCCAGTTCTGTATGAACAAATAAATAACTCTTAAAAAAAAAAAAAGTAGTGGGTTCCTGCCTATTCGGCAAGTTTGATGCAGGGTAAATGGTAGCAAAGAGCCCACAGCTCTCATAAGCCAAACACTATTTTAAGGCAAATGGTACTCTGATTTTTCTATTAAAATATGTGGAAGGGACTGGAAATCTGTGCATTTTGAAATCGATGGAATAAGATATATGCTGAAGCTCTGGGAACTGACAGCTGTGGGTGGAACAGGGGAGGTTGAGGGAACTGCCAGGACAGCCAAGAGGGGGGCTCAGAGCGCTGCAGAAGAGTCTGCACAGAGAGGAATGCTTGCTGGTGTCCTGGGGCTGACAGGTCAGTGAGGACAGAGGGCTCTCCGTTTGTTGAAATGCAGGTCATGATGACTTTATCAGCTGTTTCAAATGAACTGGGAAGAACAAAATTCCTATTCAAGTAGGCAGAAAGCCACTTTGCAACAAGTCAACAGACACAGCGAGCATAAACTGAGCTCTTTCAAAGGGAGAAATGAAATGGAGTGAGCATCGAAGGCACGGCTGACTTTTTTTTTTTTTTAAACGCAACAAGACTCCAAAGTTTTTTTTTTTTAATATTTATTTATTTATGCTTACAGCACTGGGGTACAGGCCAGCGGTGTGGTGGGTAAGAGGATTCACCAGAGGCAGACTGGGGAGCAGAACAGGCAGATGGACTGAAATTCACTGCTGAGGGCAGCAGCGGGCAAGACAGGAGAGGTCTGCGGCGCCCTGCGGGTCACTCCCTGTCTGGGATGGAACTTGCGCTGCAGTGGCTGCGGCTGCGGAGAGCTTCACAGTGTGGTGCTTTAACCCACCGTGCCACCAGGGAGAACCCACGGCTGACTTTTTTTTTTTTTAAAGAAGGTATTAAGCTATGTTTGTGCCGGAATGTGCATTATTCAATAGTGAAGGAGAAAGGAACAGCCAGGAAGCCTCAGGGTTGGTCCAGAGGAGAAGTAAGAAGCAGGGGTGGGAGGAGGTCTGGAAAGTGCGGACGATGAGGTGGTGCAGGAGATGAGTTGGGTTAGTGACTGGAAGGTGAGGAAACTTTTGTCAGATCCCAATATTCAGGCCAGAGAACTGTCCAGTTGCAGGCGTTAATTTTTCTGTCCCTAAAATAGGCACTTTTGGGGACCTGTAATTGTGTATTCTTCTTTGCTTTCGTCTCCCCACCAACAGACAGCGCGTGTAAGAGCAAAGGGTCAACCGCGAGTTTAAAGGACGGCGAAGCATGCCTGCCTTCCATTCACCAGATGCCCTAGTCTTCACCAAGCCCCCACCCCAAAGGGGACACTCCCCGCTGCAGCACCCGCAAAGGCAGGAGGCGGGGCTCCAGCGGAAGCTTGGGGCGCGCGCCGGTCGGCGCCGCGCCTGCGCGTCGGGCTCCCGTGCGGTCTCTCCGGCGCTCGCTTCCAGGCGTGCGCGCGCCCGCGCGGCGCTTGCGCAGAAGGACGAGGAACCTGGTTCCCCCGAGCGGTCCCGGCGCCTGCGCGCTGCGGGCTCCGGGCCTCCCGGCCTGAGGGAAAGAAGCAGGGAAGATGGCGGCCGTTGTGGAAAATGTAGTGAAGCTGTGAGTGGTGCTTCCATTCTCTGGGCCGGGGGGTGTTGGAAGGGGCCTGGGAGGGGGCGCAGGGCGGGGGCGGGCGAGGCGGAGGGAGGGATGTGGCCGGGGAGGCCAGGCTGCGACTCCGAGCGGGGAGGCCCACCGGAGACTCGGGGGAAGACGTTGCGCTTCTTTGGAAACTTGTGGAGGCCCTGAGGGGGGCACACGGGCGCCCCTGACGGGCAGCCTCCCCGCGCGGCGGGAGCGC